TAGTTTTAGACTAGCTATGAAAAAAAAAAAAAAAGAAAATGAAAAGAAAAAACTCGATGTGACTCGCGTTTCTTTGAGTTCCAAGAATTGTATTTTATGTCGCCAAGTTTTTCCACTCTCAGGTATTGTTTTCAAGAGAGTTTCCGTTTTACAGAGTATCAGTGTTGTTAGCCACATCGGCTGGCCATTAAAGGGCATTCAATCCGTGTATCACTTTTTCAGGCCTATAAATTCATACGATGTTGTTGGCATGGTCATCGTTCCTACTATTTACGCTTGATGAAGAAGCGTACCGAACTAATCGACACATCTAAGTCTAAACGCTTTATTAAAATGCTACCTTGTACAAGAGCTACAATTTTGAAATTTTGCCTAACTCATTGATAATTTTGTCTCCGGAGTAGTGTTTTCTCCTAAATGTCAAGTCTAAGTATAAATATCTGCATTATCCCTGGAGCTTGAAAGAGTACTATTGACTACAAAGGCGTTGGCAAATGGCTGCCTTGATGAGAATATTTGAGGTCATTGACTGACTTCTATTGGCTAGCTAGAGCCATTGAAATGGTTTACTTTACGGCGAGTGCAAACTTCAGTCAATAACAAAAAGAACTGAATAATTCATGGGGGATTTTTGAGACAAACACTGAGTTGAAATGATCAAATGTGATTCCGCACTATTCAATCACATGGCAACCCTACTTGGGGTCGTATTTGTAAGTAGACTCGTTATAAAATGAAAGCCGCAGGCCAAATCACTTTGTAATTACTCACTAAGTAATAATGTRTATATATGTGTTTTTGATCGCTGATCGTTGTTTTGCTTCTGCATGCGTCAAACTGAAAAATCCTGTGTTTTGATCCCTTGGGCGAGATGAAACGTGTTTGTTGTGCTTGTGAGCTGGCATAAACCTAGAAAACACACTCCCAAAGCGTGATGTTTCCCTGATTTTGAACACTGTTTGATATTCCCTGTATTATTTGTCATAGAAATATTTTCCTTACAATTTTAATAAAAGAGATGAAGTCTGGTGTAGCCTTGATTCACTTAGAAACTGAAAAATCTATCTTTGATTTTAACCAGAAAAATCCGCTTATTTTTCGACAAGACCTGTCACCTCTGGATTCCCACACTCAAATCTGTACAAAATTTATACATTAAATAATATTCTATTGAGGATATTATTTCAGTGGTGGAAAAAGATAGAAGTTACGTCAGAGTAAATCTAACTAACTTTAAATGAGCTAAGAGCCACCCTATCACAAACGTAAAGTCACTACATCCAAGCTGAAATGTCTACTGGATTCAATGAGAATTTATTTTGGACACAAAAATAGAAAATATGAAAAAGAAAGCACTTGTAATTCGAACAAATGCGTTGCACGTTTTTACCATTTCTTGGTATAGGGAATATATATTAGGACCAAGATCAATAATGTGATTTATTAAAAAATCAGTCGTGATTTGAGAAGGAATAGTTTTCCTCTCGACTACCTCATCAATTAATACTCGACTCCAAAAGCCAAACCACAAGAAACACCCACCTTTATTTACTTTCTCTTAAACATCACTTGAATCAAAATTGTACATAGAGTAGGCTTAGCCAGGAAATCGATCGTAATGGACTATTATTCCATCGACTCTGTTTTTATTTGGTCAACTTGAAAGCAATCAGAGACACAATATTTCAGCGTAAATTAATACAAGGGTAAAAATTAAGGCAAAGAGTGGTGATAAACGCCATTTGAGTGCTATGAAAATCAGGTTGGAAGTGATAGAATTAAGACCTTTTGAAAGCGTTTTCCTGTTGCATTTATTGCTTTGGTAGGAAGTCAGAAAAACACTCAAAAAACTTGGAGTTTTTATGTTGTTTTAGATCAAAGGAAAATTAATTCTAGGTACATGAAGAATCTGAAATAGAAAATATAAACAGAGTAATTCTCTTGCGACTAAGGAAAATCAAAACTTCTCCGGCTCATTATTCAGAGATTTTGAAAAGCTAAAAACTCCATTGAAAATCTCTTGAAGAGGCAAAGTCGCTGATGTAGATCGCTATCTCAAACTAAGACTATTAGGAAAGTCGTTTTGTCCCTATAGTTTGCTACCTTAGCCATTAGGCTTTGCCTTTTCCTATATACAATAGAGAGATATTATTCTATACGGAAGTGGAGTGAGCCTGAGCTGGGGTTGAATGGTGTTAGTACACAAAGAACACGAGCGTGGAATTACTTTAGAAGTTAATCTAGAGTCCATTTAGATTTAAATCAACCCGCATGAAATCGTAAAAGCGTGTTTTTATCAGGGAAAAGGCTCGAAGCTTAGCATGAACTACTTTGAGTAATTATATTCAAGGAATTTTATCGAACCGCAACTGTTAGTTGCCAAAGGAAAAAGTTCTTTACTTCATTTCTTGTCAAATACCACCACAAAGATAAAACTGTACACAAACAAAACATTTATAAGTAAACTCCATCATTTAAATATAGCCCGCTAGGTCAGTTAAAAGTGTCTCTTTTTCTTATAGACAAAACCAGGCAAATTGCAAACGCATGAACGCGAAGTTGAGATTCAGTACAAAAGACCTCTAAAATTGTTATCATAATAACCTACGATGATTTGAACACAGTGGGAGTTTACTTCGATATTGAGTTGCCATTTTTACAACAGATTCGCCACAAGATGCGGTCAATATAACTATTTAAGACCCTGAATTACAAACGTAAAAATCGCCGGGGATTTGTTTCTAATTAGATATTAAATTGAAGACGCGACGAGTTGCGGTTCGAGGTGCTTCCCAAGTCATGATTACTATTTTCACTTCATAGTCAAGCCTGCAACCACGGCTGATGTGGAAGGTCATTAAACCCCCTCATAAAACGAGAGCGAAAATTCAAGATCGTTACTAATATCATGGCAGTTCAAATAAAGGATTAAAAAATAACCGATCGTCAACCTCAGACTCCCCTTTAACTTCAGTCAACTCTCTCTCGTGGATTCTCTCCCAAATCAAGTTTGTCGTTGGTCTAAAATTAGCTCAGACGAACAGATTTTTTGAAAGGGGAAACATTATCTTACGATGTTTAAGATTTCCCTTGGTACTAAATGGAATATTAATCACCTGCTAGGTATGATTTTGAGGGCGCAGAAATTAATACGCCGAGCAGGTAGTTGAGACAAAATAGGAATGCCCTCGGGCAGTGTTGCTCTTCTGATGGATCTTTTCTCTTTTTTATAAACACATTTGTGGGCGTTCAAAGTCACCAAGAATGGATAGTGGCCAACATCGGCGTCCATAGAAATCCTTCCGCAAAATTAGACACTCTAGAAAACAAATATACTAAATTTTAGAAGTATATTGAGCCAAAACATCCCAAAAGGGTCTTAAAATTACCGTTTATTTACGAGTAGAAAAGGTTGGAAATCCTCGTGCGTGGCTTGAGCGTGCAGCACATGCGTTATCTCAGACATTAATCTCACTCGGAACCACCTTCTGAATTTTGGAAACGATTTATCAGTTAGATAACCTATGATAAAGACTAGTTGCGCAGGCAAGTTTGCAAAAATGTTTTTGATGCCCTGTAAACTGGGTTTCTGATTAGGCATGTCTAGGAGGCAAACAAACGTGGCATGACAGTTCAGTTTCTTGTTTTTTTTTAGCAATCCTTTTGGTAATTAAACTATCAACAAGCAAACGCAAACTTTGTGATTTCAAATCACTGATAAGTAARTAAATACTACAAGACGAAGTGTCTTGTAGTCAAAGTAAACACATTGGGTTTTTAATGCGACGAAATATCCTTGTTAATGACTGAAAACGAGATGATAAAATTCTGCAACAAAGTTGATCAACGTCTTTGTAGCGAGTCCAGTGGATGAGGCTCGTTAGAAAACATTGTTGGGATTTTCTTTTAGATTGTTGTCAGTCAGTCACGTTGAATTAGGGCACTGCTAATCCACGTTATCCCTTTATTACCCCATCATTTCTGATAACAGGTATTAAGATATATGAACCGACACAATCTCCAAGTGCAAACTACTCCTGAAAGAAAAATGCCAGAAAAAACATACAATACCACTGCCTTTGTTGTCGAGAATAAAAGACAAAAAACCTTTCTCTGGGAACTATTACGATAATTGACCATTGTTGCAATAACTGCCATTAAAAATTCTTTGCAAAAGTGGGCTGGCGTTAGTGACTTGATCTCAACAAGCACTTTCAAGCTCTTGAAAAACCSCTATCAGAAGCTAGGGCGCTGTTCTTTACACCATCATCTCGAGATTCAGTGGTTGTGGTGCTCGAGGAAGACAATAGAATTCCCTTTATAATTAGCCATTGGTTGATATCAGTGCTAGAAACTGTTAATCGATCCATGGTGCATTACTTCAAGTCACTCTCACACCTCTCTATTGATCAGGCTCTTTTCAACCTTTTGAATGATAGCAGGAACTTGATTCAAAGTCCTGTGGGTGTTAATGTAGTCGAACAATAGACTCATTTCTGAACCTTTTTTTGTCATAGACAATTTACAGCTGAAATTTTACCATAACATTGTAAATAAGTGGATTGATAACGAACTGGGTTTGAAAAGCATACGCGATGCTGGAAAAAAAAAAAAAAAAACGCGCCAGATTTTCCCTGAAATTCGCGCCAATAACTATTCGTCGACTACACCACAACTAAACTTTCACTTGTTCGACTTACAAACAAAAACCCTGTGCATTAATTGTCAAAGAAACTTTATTTTATTTTAGCTTCCTTGAAACTTTGCATATTTATAATATCCGAACTTACTTTCTACTAACTATTTTCTACATCAGTTTATCACTGGTCGAGTAAAGACCCACTAAATTTCATTGTGTACTAACAAACAACATTCCGTATATATAGTATTTATATATATTTATATTTCGAAAGCTTTACAGCAATTCTTTAACTTTGTACAATAATTCACCAGAAGAATCGAGAACCCAAGGAATTCTACTTAACTGTATTTTTTTCCTATTAGTATAATTTGTAGTCTTTTCTATAAATTGCAATTTTCCCGATGAAAACAGCTGATTGTGTCTGCAGTATCTACAAACTTGGTTTCATTCTTACTCTCAGTCTAGTTGTCTACAACCAGTTTGGTTCTTATCTGCTTGAAGCAGACTGTTCATCATAGTAGCATTTGATCCACTTAGAAATAGAGGATCTAACTAGCTAGTGTTGTTTTAATTTTAAGTCATCGTTTGATTCTTCTGAATTTTTTAGCTCGCGGAGGTCGTCGTCTTCGATGCTGAGTTCATCAGGACTCAAAGGTGCTTTGCAATTGGAAAGCTGACATCCTTGTTGATTCATTCTGCAACGAAAAATACCAATAATTTAATAACAAGAACAATATTTAAGCAATAAAAAGTTTATTTTTTAAATAACAAATGCATTGTTGCCCTTTTCCCCCTGCGTATTTTGCATGTTGGAAGTTTTTCAAAAACGCCATTTTTGTTTATTTTGCTTTGGGGTGTATATAGCTTTACTCATAAATTAGGCAAAAGGCATTGATTATTGTTTACCCTAAGATATCTCTGTTTTTACCCTTGTTTCATTACATTCTGACTTCTTACTGAATCTAAGCGAAAGCTCTCACACCTGGAGCACTACGAAATCGATTTTTTTCTGTACACAATACTTTAATGGCAGGAAACGATTCCTTCTTGTTGTCCGATAACAAGGTATTTAGTCACTGTGAGCCTAGCCGGTGTGCGTACCCACTCCATCATATATATCATGGCTCGCTTTCATCGTGTACAGCCCTGCAAGTCGTTTCATTGTCAACCTCTGAAATGTATCACTCACTCGCCGAGTATCATCATCATATGAACCCAAGTAGATATGTTTTGGATTAGAGCTTTCAACTCAAGGCTTAGTAAAGTAAAACCATTCAACACTTAGGTGAAGAAAAACAGTTAACAGAGCACTAACATTGTGGGTCTAATTTTTTATCTTTCTTTCGTTGGCCGAGATAGACATGTCTAGAAAATCCCTTTCAAATAAATAACAAAAGCTCCGGAAAGAAAAGGCAGTTTTGAAATCAAAGTCGATAAAGAGATAACTTCAGGAAAAGGAAAAGCATCTACTTTTTCTTTGAAACGTGTCTCACAGAAAATTCTTCGTAAATGCAGGCTTTTACCCTCAGCTCATCGAGCTTGTACAGCCGAAGGGAATGTTGATGCTCTAGGGAAAATGTGTCTGTCATATAGCTAAAATATCGAACAATATTGAGTCGGTAGTCTCCGGGAACCTTCTAAAGCAAAGTCATTTGTCGCCAGTCTACTCGGAATGCCTATATCATTCCACATGAACAATTGGATTCATTAAAATTTATTCTTTCTGTACGAAAATCTCAAAACTCTTGAATTTCCTGTCGGTCTGTATAATCTTGAAGTTGTCTTTAGCAACCAGTGATTGTGTCAAGCAGTACATTGAACATTATTGGCATATTGTTCCAAAAAGATTTACTGTTTTGACAGAGTGAGTTGAAATATATGACCGAGAGTAATGGGTTGCTTTGTTCCAGGGAAGKCGACGTTCGCGAAGTATACCTTTCACGAGTGATTTATGGCTTCTACAAAATGTCTATGAGAACGAAAAAGTAAAGCAAATATCCTACAAGCACTCTACTTTATGCCGACTTGATTTCGGCCCCTTTTTCTCTCACCATCTCTAAAATTTCAGAGCGGAACTCGAATGAATCCAAATAGTAAGTTATACTAGCCATTTGGCTGCCTCCAGTTATAAGTAAGRATATCAGACTAATGCCTTTGGACTAAACAATCAGTGAAAATTCTTAAGTGCCTTGAATTTCTTGGATTATTTCTAAATAAAACATTTCAGTCGGTCGGAAGCTTTCAAGGAAGCAACTTTTGATTGAAACACAGCCCGTCATCCTTTGGGTTTGGAGGCTGAAACACCCGAGATGAAACGAAGGAAAGAAACTCCATGTTGTTAAACTCGAGCTAAAGAAGTTTGCCTCAGATCGGTAGCCGTAGAAAACGACTTCTATTGCAAATCTCAGCCAGAAAGGCTCGAAAAGTTGAAAAAGGGAAAGAATTTTCAGACAAAAATTCGACAAAACAACATGTTTGAGAATCATTTAGGCTTGTGTATTGAAATAAAATGTGTAAAATATATTTCACGAAATGTTGTTGCTCATTGTTGCTGTAAACCTGCGTTTTTTCTCGGTTCTTTTCCCCAGCCAACTTTTAAATTGATGGACGAAACCTTTAACTCGTAGAGAGAGTAAACACGTTTTATATTTTGGGCGTCTGAATTTTCGATGTGTATTGTTTAATTCTTGTAAAACATTAAAAAGAAAAATAATAATGAAAAAATATTTGCCTTTTTTCATGCGTATGTCGAGGAATGTTAAACGAGCAGAAAAAATATCTAAAGTTATAAATTTCAACCACTTTACTTATTTTTTATAATCTTTAGCTTCAATAAATAAAATAATTGATGGAAATGTTCAAATTATTCGTCAAATACAAACTCGGTAAATTGGGTCTTATTAATATTTGAAGATTTCGCACCTCTAAGTTTTAATGATGGAGGATTAGAAACGACCTTGTTATTCTTGGTTAAGTACAGAGGGTGTGAAGTCCTCCTGGTTCTCACCTACTCTCGTTGTTAATGGTTCCTCTAAATGATAATTTCTGTGCTCTTCTCCTCCCACTAAGTATTCTATTCTTTGATCTTTAGCAAGTTTTTAAGTAGGATTATGCATGCATTTTCAGTCYCCAATCTTGAATTTGTTTCTCAGACTTAAGGGATTCTTCGGGGACTCTTAGTTGTCTTCATTTGAACATTGATAATTATTAGATTGGGCCCATAAACATACAAATCAAAGGTAAAATAGAATTATCATCGTTAAGTATGTGAAAATATCCGGTGAAATTATGAGATATTAATAAATGAGTTGCCCTAAGAGTATCCAAAACACTGTGGCATTCATCGATAGTGGAAAATCAACCATCCTTTTCCGTCAACGGTCTTCTTATGTGGTCGGTCATAAAAGATGTGAGCCATATGTGAAAAACAAAAACCAAACAACAGCCCAAATGTTTTGAGTTTTCAGCCGAATAAAGTCAAAGTATATTTCCGTGGCTTTTCAAATAGATAAATTTTCGTGAAAACCCATTAGCGAAATACTGGTCTAATAATGAAGGAATCACTGCGAACCACATGTTAGATTTTACTCCCGGGCCAGTTTGCTTTGCCTGCCTGCCTGCCTGCTTGCCCTCCAGCTCTAGATATCATAGAGTTCATAGTCATGGTGTGTGTTACAAGATCAAACGTTTCTTTTAGCTAGCCCATCTGTTTCTTACCAACCATATCAACTAATTCTAGGGAAATGAGGGCTGTCGGAGGTAGTCCGTGACACTTCCAACTCCAAGTCCTCGAGCCGTGGAGAGTAATCTCGCCTTAACGCTAAACTTACACTAATTTGCCCATTTCCGTTGCAACCGTGACCCAGCACAAGAAGCAAGGCAAGATATCAATGCATCGAGCAATGAAAACTATGGTTTAAAAGTCATCTGTACTAAAATATACTGTAATATTGTACATGGAATACATTGGCTGTGCTCGTCGAGTGTGTGAGAATAACCCAGTTATAGTAGGTATATTATCTATGATATAAATAAACAAACTAAAAACAAGAGATGTTTTTATTTACCTGTTCTTCGCTGCAGCAGCTCGGTCTCTTTGCCGTCGATTCTTGAACCAATTCCCAACTTGAGTTGGTGTAAGTCCTGTAGCTTGCGCTAGTTCACGTTTCTTCGTGGGATTCGGATACGGATCTTGAAGATACCACTCTCTTAGGAGACTCCGTGTTCGTTCTTTGAAGCAATGTGTCTTTTGTTCGCCATCCCAAATTGTCCTCGGCATAGGGAACTTCTTTCGTACTCGATATTTGTCTACCGGACCTAGGGGTCTTCCGCGAAGTCTTTCTGCTTCTTGATAATGCGCTTCTAGCCACATAGCTTGAAGTTTCGCGTGAGATTCTTTAGTAAATCGGTGCGATTCTAGTATGTGATACAGGTCTCTAAAGTTGCCCATGTGAAAGGCGACTATAGCCCGAGCTCGGAGTACACTTTCGTGCTTGCTTAAAGCCTCTAAAGTACCAGGGGCTACTGGCAGTGACCATAGAAATCTGGCCAAGCGCTCAACATCCCCACTTTCTTCTAGTGTTTCGCACACTTGAGCAATTTGCTGGGGACTGAAGGTCAGTATGGGAAGCGGAGCAAACATTTCCGCAGTAGAAGTACTGTGGTTGGTCTCTGTGGATGTACTGGGCAAACCAAGCTGTTGTGCACTATTAAGGCTTTTGACCGGGTGTGGTGATTGCTCTGTGGACTGTCAGGATTTATCTAGAGAGTTAGAAACATGGGGCATATTATCACTGCGATCAGGTATTACGTTTGTTAAGTTTATCTTATCTGATTGGCTCGTCAAGTACTAATTGCTTCATTGCCATAGCTACACGTCACCCAAGTAGGCCAAAGTGTCATTAAACGCGAGCCAGTACAATAGTCGAGGGCGCATTGTATAGAAAAGCCTTGTCACATGATTACTCTTAAAAACATTTACAACCAAATTGTGTGAAATAGGAAGCAATAATTCTAAACAATTTCAGCAGCTTTTGGAAGTGCTTTACGCGTACTTAAGGAGATGACAACACAAACACTAAACTCTTTGTTATCTTTGTAGACTTGCCGCGAATATTCGATAAAACTACCAGTTGTTGACAGATGAATTGACGGGGAGAACGCGCAAAAACGAACGCTTGTTTGGCAAATCTACGTTCGTGTAGACCTTAAATATAGATGTTGTGTACGATAAAAGATATTTTTGTCGCAGTTTACCGCAGTGCAATCCCTTTATTGTATAAATAGTTTACATAATCGTAAAACTACAGAAGTCAGAAGCAGGGTCTAGTGGTGATAAAAACCTGTCATTCTGAAGGGATCGTTTACTTACGATATGGGGATTAAGTATTCTCGAAAACAATACCGAAAATTTCTTCCACGCCCCCACAGCCTCACTCGAACTAAATCAGACAAATATGTAACCTAGAAAGAGACCCAAGCAATGAGAGAATGGTTAATGAGAGAGACGTTCTCGTTTAGGTTTCCCATTAGCCCGGGCAGCGCTATTCTCGCTCAAGTATCGCTTCTACTCAACCTTCTCGTGTAGACAGTCTAAGTCATTGTCCAATGTAATTTTCACTCCGCCTTAACAAGCCATAAGTGTGCCTAAACCAGACTCGACAATACATTTCGAATGTAATGCAAAAATGACCTACACTCTGGCGAACTGTAACCTAAGCTGACTTCTTAGATGCTTTCTGTATCTTGCTAAATGACTTCGTTTAAATCTCACCTCCTTAAAACCGATTCAACATCGAGTCGACTAAAAGGAAACTTATCTATTTGTTGCCCGAAAATCAGTATCAGCTCAGAGCCTGATGTAAATACAGGGTTAAGTCGACACTAGTCAGATATCTGATCAGATAGTCTACCCGCTTAGAGCCAGAGAAACAATCCGACAGAACCTCTATATCTTTAGTTTTTCAGCGCATTCTAATCTTCTTACAAAAACACATTTAGCGTTTTTTATTTTTGCGCTCGTGATTTACAACCAAATGGTTGAAAATAGATGCAAGACTCTTCACATTTCCTCAAGAATCAATTTAGCCAAATTAGTTTTCATTTAAGATTATGCGAATTTCACGAAAACTGTGCATTTCTATTTCAAGTATAAAATTCTTATTTTTTTCGACGACAGGTTTCTTTATTTAAAATATAGTTTTAGCTTACAATTACCGGCGGTTCTCGATAAGAACTTCCCGGTTTGGCTTTAGAATTTGATATACTAACAAAACAATTCATTAGAGAGTAAATCTTAGAGGCTTACTCTGTCGTGATGGTATCTCTTAATTTTTTGATAATGCACATTACACGCGTTAGGGGAAGCTAGCTACATCCATAAAGAGTGTCTTAAGGCCACCACTATAGCCAATCGCATCACACAGCTATAGATTTCATTTTTCTACTAATACAATATAGAGTTTTAGCATTGTTTCTACTCTTCTCTAATTTATCAGTAGATATATTGCCCCGAAGCGTGAGGCTTTTAGAGACTCACACAGATGAACGTCTAACTCTCAAATAAACCCTGTATGTCACTAAACTTGAAAAGAAGGCCAGTGGAAAAACTCGCTGTCAGAATAAAGATATATTTAATGGATTATTTTATATTTGGTCTCAATGTTGTCCGGGTTTGATTTGTGTTCTGAAAAAATCTCGAATCAACACGAGTAAATTAATTGCTTTGAATTCTCTCAAACCGAGTCCAGGTAACTACAAAGGCTATAAACAAAAACTGGATTGTTCTGTACCGATTTGTCATCTGCTTCAAGATGGTGATTAATCAGCGAATATGACACCCCACTGGATATTTACATAGAAATATTTGATTTGTTATCAAACCAGCACAAGGCAAGAAACATGAAAAAAAGAAAAAAAATTCCACATGATTTTTGGGGTAATTAAATCTTATTTTTATTACCGAATTTAATTATCATTTGTTCCGTGCTCTTAGCGGGGCAGGTTCGGATCGCTAAACTAACTTTCAGTTTCGGGATTAGGATCAGGAATTTGCGTAGTTTAAATGCCATTTTTTAGATTGTTGTAGACTTATATTTTTTTATGTTAGAATACTTTCTCAAAACAAGTACATAAAACGAAAAAGATAAAAACCCACGTCATGGAATAAAAAGAATCACGTTCAATATGCTACATTTCAAGTAGTTTTTCTTGTTGTTTTAGTGGAACACATCTTGGTCAATTTTTGAGTGGCTGCCACTTCTTTATGACAGTTTTCCTTTATATCTGCTCTTGTTATGCCTTGCTTGATGCGCATTATATTGACATAAATCTGAGAAGACACTTCAACGTCTTTCTTTGCCAACCTCACGTGTGTGACAGTTACTCGTCCATAAATCATTGGGGCACACTGAAGCTTACAAATGTGATCTGTGTGGTTATGATATATATATATATATAAGCATCTGAGTCGTGGAAGTTCGTTGTAATTGTTAAATTAATATACCTTCTGGCGACCTACTGACATAACCTTTTTTCTCCTACCTAAAACTCCCCTCTCTCTTTTCCTCTGAAAAGTAACTGCTCTACTCTTGGAAAAGGTTCCAAATGCCGTGTATATTGCGTCTTCTTCGAAAATCAGTCACAATGGCTAAATAATCCATGATTGAAAACCAAATAGTAAATAGATTTTAGACAAGGATATTTGAAGTTTTCCACTTGAGAATATGTATATAAAAAAATGAAAGTTTGCACAGATTGGGCTAGTGAGTTCAACACTGTACTGTAAGCAGAAGCAGCAGACTCGAACACAATTCCCATTATTAGTCTCGTGTTTACATTCACCACATAACACCAATCATGCTATCATAGTTTTCTTCTCTTAAGGAATCAAAAGTCAAGAATGAATTGTCTAAATCCTCCAAAGTTAACTGTGAGCTTTGAATGGTGGATGGCGCCATCCATGCTATTGTGCCGTTTATATACCAGCGGGAAATTCCGTCATGTGTAAACTACACCATGTTCGCCAGAGTAGACTCTTTAGTTTTCAACCATAGTTTTTTCTGGTATTCTGTAGTCGTTGTAGTGGTAACGTTTTTAGCACCAATTTCCGTTGATGATTTTGCATGAATTGGTCATGGAGTTGATTTGGTGCAACTTTAACCTCAAATTAATTGAGAGTTCAATGCAACATGCTCGTAAAACTAAACTTACAAAACATGGAATTCATCAAAAGAAAAAAACCGTTCGAACTATAAATATGCACTGCTAAACGACTTTCCCGGAATTTTAAATCTTTTGGGCTCAGGCTTAAGAATCTCTATCAATTATATGGGTATTCTCTCTGGCCGGTTTGAATAACACCATATCGTATTAAGATTACAACCTGTGAAGTTAACCTCGTTATTGAGACGTTTAGTGCATGATGGAATAATAAGCTCCAAGCACGAAGTGCTAAAGGTCTCTACTCTACTAGCTAGCTAGACCAGTATCGTTCAAAATGGTGCGAGGAAAAAGGAAAGTACCAAATGTAAACTTCACGTACTTGAGTAAGGAATAGTATTAGCACTAGATTAGAGTTTGTTGACATAAATGTCAATAGAGTAGACTTTGCTTCTGATGTTTATTTGCTTTAGGAAGTACTAAAGGTTACTTCGTTTCTTTACTGAACATACCGACGCTAAACAGTGAAGAATGAAGTTGGACCTCTGTGATTTATGATAGCATTAAGCAACGTAGGTTTTCGGTGAGAAATTTCTCGTTGAAAAGCACGCTAGGAAGTATTTTGCTTGGCAAAGAAGACTTAAAACTAATATTTTAAGTTGAAATTACGGATGAGTCTTACCTTTTCTATCCACTATAAATGTTGGAGCAGCTAGAGAAATCGTACTTGAGGTTTCAGAAGGACCGTTGTTTTGGTACGAGTCTATTTAGGTCTAATTTACACAGGGCGTGCTGTAGATGCTAAGAAGTAAGGCATCCGACCAAAGGGGCTCGCTTCTGAACAATGACTAAACAAACAGAGTAAGATTTAGACAAAATACCCAACACAAGCCGTTCTACAAACTAGTACACATCAGCATCGCAGAGCATCGCATCGAGTGGCATGTGTATATGATATGAGATAATAGACAAGACAAGCCATTCAGTAGGAGGTTTCTACTATTCAATTCACCTTCTGTATCATCATTTTTTTTTTGTCTCGAACATTGATCAGTAATATTGAAGAACAATGGCGAAGCAATGATGAGCACTCAAGCACATTTACATATTGGTCTACATAAGATCAACCCACCTCTTGGGAATACTCTTGTATATCAATAAAGTACAATGGACACTGAGACATGTATTGAGGACTTAGGCATCAATTATTATCGCCAACATGAAAATTGGTACCGTTCAATGTYGTCTAAGCTTTGTCACGCCCCCATCATTATCGACCAAATGTCTTCGTCCATTTACTTGATTTGAAAAGAAATTAGTGAAATATCATGCTTGTTTGTTCGACGGACTCGTAGTTAGCCAAGTAAGCCCCGAATCACGGGCCAGAAGTCTGCGTCGCCCGGTTTGCTGGGGTCTACTTAGACAGGACTATGAGWAGTCGTGTTGAAGTCTCGTCAACACTAAGTACCATTATAGATAATTATTATCCCACTGAGATTCAGGTAATGAGGTCTCTTTCTAGAGGTTTCCGGCCCTACTCACGCTAGGATGGCTCGGGACAATAGACCGAGAGAAGAGGAACAACGCAAAGCTCCTCCTACGACCTGGTTGACTTAACATTTTGTCACGCAGATCGCGAAACGTCTCAATGACTCATTAATAGTGGTCTTGCCTCAGGACAGCTCTTAAGCATATCAATAACATAATCGTTGACTTGAGAATCTAAAGATACACAGCAAGAATGACGTGAACCATGTCTTGGAATCTGACTTCAGTTTAGGCAAAAATATATGCCCATAACTCGACCACTCAAGCATCAGAATGTGAGGAATAAGAATCCCAATTATGACTACATATAATAGAATAAAATTGATCCGAAGCAGAATGAATCGAAATCTTAATTTCTTTTTAATCAAAAGCTTGCCTGGGGCATATGGAAAAGTATATACCAATTTGAGACGGTCGGTGATTTTGTGTTCGATTCCTTCTGTAAAAAAACAGGGATCGTAACATTTCTATGTTTAAACATCTCGATGAAATGCTATTATTCGTCGATACATAGTTCTGAATGATACACTTGGCTTCCGCAAATCGCCCACAGATGGTTTCCAAGTAAGAGCGTGGTCCGGTAAAGTACAGTTAAAGAATTAATTTCGCTTCCAAAACCAATTAACCTTGCACCCAAATCAATAATATTACTCCAGCGCACTTTTAGCCGACTCAAAAATACCATTTGTGGTAAGAAAAAGGCTTTTAGAGCTCGAGAACCAAGATAGGCTAATCTGCGGCTTTCCCAGCGTGTTTTATTGATTCTAGTAAAGCTGGCTGTGAGGAAACAGAAATATTGTTTTTGGCCCCCTGTGGGTTGAGCAAACAACTATCAGAGAAACCAAATTGAGTATTGAATATTTATAACAGAACGACTAGTATTAGATTGACCTATTGACCAACACCACTGGAGACACGARGCAATTAAATAAAGACCCGAGCCGTTTTGTGCAATCTTCCAGTACGGTTTTACGTCAAAATCCCTCTTTGCCTGTTAACTCCACCACAAAAACTTCCGTCCACAAATCGGGAAAAAAGAAAGAATAGAAAAATAAAGAATCGTTTGAAAAACCTGTGCCGTTGAAGATTCACTAGAAGCAAACTAGGTTCTTATTTTCAATGACTGCTTCATATGTTTAATCATATTTAAAACTAGCAGATTCTGTTGGTGGAATTGAGTTTATATCAGGATTATGTGCTAAGATAGACACGAGTATAAAGTTGGAAGTTGACACCCTTTGTATTTCAGCTATTGCTAAACCTCAGTCACACAGATACAAGATAAGGCCTTTTATATCCATCCTCTATTCTCTATTATGCAGTTAAGGTTTTCAATTAAGGGATTGGTTTCATATTTTTATATTCACACGTGCAATTGGGCAGCCTTGTGGGATAACTCCCAGTTTTTCTTTCCTTTACCTCGCGACCAAAAGGGCTGCASGCGGCTGGCATTTAAGTTTCAATTAGTCGAAATTACTTTGTCGGTTCGACGTCCCGCACACACGTCAATGATTGGAACTCAAATGTTTTCATCACCAATGTAGGAATCTTCCTTTAGATTTGTTTTTATAACGCTCAATTCCACAGCCAATCTATAGTGATGCATTTGATTGTTGAAAATTAATGAATGGAAGAGCCGAAATCAATGGTAATGATGGCCGACRAGGCGAAGCGATCCGCTATGTACACTGATTGGATCGAAGGTATTGTCTGCTTCTCCACTAATGATAAATAGTATACAGTATCTATTATATCCTTGAAGTTCCTTTCAGGATGCAGGTGAAGTCTGTTTGTGTAAATAGGACTTTATTTGCTACAAGTCCAACTAGTGAACCCATGTAGATTGTGGATGGACTTGATTGATTGTAAGTCTAAAGCTATTCAGCACGCCAAGCGAACTAATTCTCTTGCACCTGCATAAACACATGAACAAATCTATGCACACGAGAAACTCGGCTTGAATTTCTAGCACATTGTCCTACGTAAAAGTATATATATGTGTGTGTGTGTGTGCATATATTCGACAATCAATGGTTACAGTAGAGAAAAGATCTACGCAGAATTTTGTGTGCCAATTCCTTAAACACATTTATTTGAATTTATTTGTACATACCGGTAACATTTTTCCAAATGTATATCCCCAAGTCTTATTTCATAACTTGATTGCTAATCTGCTTACCTTATAAAAGACTTAAAACCCTTTTTTGTGTTCGTACTGATTGAAATCACATTTATGATCAGATTACCGATTGTTGTAATTTATGATGGCCCCCCAACCGAGGTTCTTGTCAGGGTCCTTCCATTCAACACGGGTAAAACTCGTACTCTACATTAATAAATAGACACTTGTTTCTAGAAATACTCATAGAAATTCTCTTTCGTATTCTTTTTGTGTCCATAGATGAAAGTATTATTGTTTACTTTATGTAAGCTAATATCAAAGCGTGCCACAATAATAAGAATTGTCCTGGTTCCTCATTGTCTTCTAAAACTGCTTTGAAATAAGAGATCGTCTGGTGGTAATAGAATATCTCAAGACTGAAGTTAAATCTCTGAAAATTTATCTCAAAATCGTACTTTCTAACTCGATACATGGATTTAAGCCGTTTTTAAATGGCTTTCTGGAAAGAATAGCGTTGAAAGTTATCTTAAAAATGTATCTTATTTCTCTTGAAACGGTGTTTTGTACACATGTACAAAGAATAGGTTGATAAGATTTCGCTTTTCAATGGTATTAACCTTTTTCACTTCAACTTGTAATGTAATAGGGTGCTTTTAGCCTAAATTAGTGCAGTGTATGACTTTATTGAAGTGGATAGAGACGAAATGTCAAAAACTCCTTTCATCTGTGCGATCCCAGTGCACAAGTGCTGCGAAAAATTGGAGGAGACTTTTTGCAAAGTTTATAATCGCAGTCACTCTTAAAAACCATGAGAAAGAAAGAAAACAAAACAGTTATATTTACCTTGCACTCTAAAGAGTTTGATTAATTGCTCAAATCTGCCGTGGTTTCTTAAAGAATGATATATAACGGATATGGATTGACTTTTCAAGTAAACACATCAATCCTTCATTCCAAAGATCATGTCGTTTTAGTTGTACTGTAAGCACTGGCCTTCTCAGGTCGCTACCCTGGGATTCGGAAAGTCTGTCTTGAAGTTAGAATTGCTTTTATACGCGAACAGAATGAAAAAAAACCTAGTTAAGGATTTAATTAGGTATTTATCGTAGAACGCTTTTATTTGCTATTGGTCTGAGTGGAGTTAACAACAGAAAATCTTATTCGCGTGACAACCACGGACACCTGCGTACAATAGCCCGGACTCGATGACAGATCATACATTGATCCAAATACTAATCGAACTCATTGTAACTCCTTCGTCAGCTATCTGTAATGGAGACTTAGATTAGCTCCAAGACAAAGACCGAATACCTCAGTCAACTCAGTAAGTGGGTCTACACTTCATCTTCAAATGACATACAGATACAATCTGACTCAGCGTGGGGCGAGAGGACATTTGAAAATATTGCCCGTCATTTCAACTTATCTCATTTATTTCAAATTGCTTTTGAGTGACTATACTCTAGTTTATATAAACCTATCTTTTATAGGAATGATAAGGCCGCTCATGGACTAGACATGAGGATCTTGAGTCGAAGATAAAGCTGACAATATTAACTTCTTAATTTTACCATGCTGAGTTTATGATCTGTAAAGCGTGCCGCTCCTAAAAAAAAGCGTTTTCTGTGCAAATCAGTATTACCCCTTGTCAGGTCGTATTTCAATACGAAATACAATTTGACATGATTATTTTTAGCCGACGCGATATTTTGCATCCCAAACTATGTTTACAAGAGTTTAAACGACACGAAATGCAATCAAAGAGAATGATGCTTTCAGGCAATGTCATTTGCTTCTTGGTTTGGACGTGACAATATTTCATCGCTTGCAATATCAAAGACACATCGTGTCATCTTATCTTCTCCTTGATAATTCACCCCGTATAGTAGCGACATGGTAACAGAAACCTGTCTGTTCAGTTCTAAACTTGGGCTTGGGATCTGCTGTTTGCTGTTCACACTTGTCTAGCGCATCAGTGACTTGACTGAAAATTCACCCCCACACACATTATAAACCTTATGATAAAACCACACACACAAAAAAAACTAAAAATTAAAGCATATTTTCTTGATAGCTTGCTTCGTTTTGTTCACTTTAATCCTTTTTATTAAGAAGCTTTAATCCTTCTAATAAGACTTCAGACTAATGGCTACTACAAACCGCTCGCCAATTATTTATGACACCATCGATAAAGAATTTGTCTTCAAAGAACAAGACAAGACAAAATGATCTTAAAGTGATCTACACAACCGAGAATGTCATAATCAGTCTATGGCTATTTTCAGATGGAACCAGCGAAGGGAGAGCTAAATAACGGTAGAGTTGAAAAGGAGAAACGGCGCGTCAGTAGAAAGGCGTGTACGGCCCAGGCCAAGAACAGTTATTCCTGGCAACGCCTATGTTGTATGATCTCATTCAATTTATCGTAAATTTAGCGGTTTTTAGCGTATAATGTAGGAGTAATTTAGTCGGCACGCAAATAGTAAATAGCACTTTAAGAAACATTTGAACGCGTTCAAATTTCTTTGTCATATTCATTCGGTTATCTTTCTAATCTTCTTCATTAACTGTGCGCTCATTCAAGTATCACTTACATTCATTTTTATCAGTTCCTGTAAATTTATTTTTCGCTCTCTTTTTTTTCTTTCTTTCTTTTCTTTTTTTACTATTTCATTATCTGTAGTTATCTAGATAAAGTACACTTTAAAGATGGCTTGTTTGGCTAATCTAAATAGTCTGCAGGACCTAATTCTTTCAAATTTGCCCTATTCGTTGGAATTCGGA